CTCATAGAATACTTAAACTTTGTACACATAACAGAATTTACACATTACCCATAAACTTGTGAACTGGCCTGTTGATTTTCCCAGAACGGAAGCTTAAGACTGCAATCTTGAATTTATCCTTAATCCCCTTTGTCCTGGCCAAGAAAGTTTTGTGAGGGAATGGTTTTTAAGGAGAAACTTAAAATGGCAGCAGAGACGAATCCACTAGAAAACCTGAACCAATCCCAAGAGCAAATAACAGAAAGAAGAGGTTCTAACTTTTATAACAGGGATTTGGAAGGGGGAGAAGCAGTGGTGGGATTCAGCCAGTTCGCACCAGTTCGGCAGAACCAGTAGCTAATTTTTTGTTGCCCAGGCCCAGAATGGACTTCCGGAAGCAGCATCCACACAGACAACCGGTTGTTCACATATCTGAATCCCACCACTGGGGAGAAGGTGGACTTGGCTGTCTTGGAGTATAAGAATGTTGCTAAGTAACAAAGCTAACAATAATACTAATAATAACAATGAGCTGAGGAGGCAAGCAAAACCTGTTAGGAAATAAGTCAAGGCTTAGGTGCGAGTGTCCACATAGGTGTGAGTCTCCAGAAATCACATCGGGTTTTTTTGTTTTGTTTTTTAGAATTAAGAGGGGTTGATTCCAGTTAGAGCCATGGTGAAATTGAAGGTGGAGGTCTAATTCTTTATCCACACACATCACTTTCACTGATTAAAATTAACTTCAGAAGAAAAACATTTACTGAAGTGGTACAAAATATCTAGGTTTCCAAATAATATGAAATGATTTGTTCTATGAAATAAAGAGTAGGCTCCAGGTTTGGTTAACTGTATTAGAGTGCATAGTTCTGTCAAGCTTTACAAAATCCTGGAAAGAATTTGGAAGAGAATCAACTCGGACATCTTCATAAACTTTATTGGGGTCAAAGAAGAGGATGACCTGGCTTATATATTATAGAAAACACTGGCCCCAACAATGAACTTTTGTTGCTCATTGTTATGAATGACAAGCTTCATTATGCTTCTACAGCAGCATCTTTGTTCCCCAGTGGTTAATACTACTGGGAAAGGACATTTGTGAAATCTCTCTTCAGTGTGAGTAGCTTCGGAACAAAGCAAATTCTAAACAGGGGAGGAGAGAACTGAAATACCTTAATTTTCCTAGAATCAGTTTGCATCTCTAGGTTATTAATCATAATACATAAAATTCTGTATGACTAACTGATAATGTTTGAGCTACAGATATATTCAGGTTAAAAAGAAAAGATGCTAAAATGAAGGCTGCTATCTCACATTCTAAAGATTTGAGTTAGATTCATGTGGTACATCTGATATAGATTTGGGACAGGATAATATCTTAGGTGGGCTGTGAAAAGAAGCCCCAGATTGGCCAGCAATGGTCCATACTTGCTTGGAGGTTTCAGCTCCGCATCTGGAAGGCAATAGGTTGGGAAATTTGCTTTATCTACAAGGTGTCCAGCCACTCTAAGATTCACATTCTGCCTTTTGGTTTTGTTTTAAACAGATCTTAGAGACATTGTTGAATGTCTTCCAATAACTCTGCTGAAGTGCAGATTGGCACACTATGGAACATTAAATTACAATAGTGACTCCCAGTTACCATAGCTGCTGGCAGTGGGGTTAATAAAATTGTCCCCCAGAGCAGGGGTCCCCAACCCCCAATTTGGAGACCAGTACTGGGCCACTGCCCATTGGGAACCAGGCCACGCAAGCGGGTGAGTGCGCAAAGCTCCATTTACACATGTGTGGGATTAGGTTGTGCACATGAAACCATCCGCTCCCTCCTGCTGCTGGTCTGTGGAGCCGGGAATGTTAGGGACCACTGCCCTAGAGAACCCATCTTAAGTTCACCTACACAGAAGGAGACCCAGAAGAGATTTTCTTCTAGTGGACCTTTTGAAACATGGAGTCAAGATCTTCCGGACAATAAAACAGGTGGACAACCTGACCTCACTGAATATATTTTTAACTACTTATTAATGTAAGCTGTTTGTTCTTTTGGTTGTTGTGAGTATTGTGGGCTATTTTCTAAGTATGCAGGTATTTCCTAAATATTCTGGCTGAAGTATGTTTCAAGAACTTAAGGAAAACATGCTGGGTCAGGCCAAGATTAGCTCATTAGCAGAAGATGAAGAATAAGTTCCTTTCCTGCCACCGTTCTCCACAACTAGTGTGTGTAGGTGCGCTGTTCCCACTTGTTGGCAACATCGAGTCAAAAGATAAACTTGTCTTCCACAAAAGTTTCCAATCTCTTTTTTTAAGCCATCCAACTAACTCCAACTTAAGCCATCATTATGTCTTGTGATAATGAATTTCACTGTTTAATTCCATACTGTGTGAAGAACTTCTATTTTAAATCCCTTCCCAGTCAGCTTTACCAGATGTACAGTATCTCAACTGTCTCCCATCAGTTTCCCTTTTTTCCTCATCTGAAAGAATCCCAAATATTCTACCTTTTTTCCCATGAGGAAATTGCTCAAGCTTCTTAATCATTCTGATTACCCTTTGCTCAGCATTGTTGTATTCTCTATTTAAATGTGGTGACTAGAATTGTAGCAGAACAGTATTTCAGATGTGAATGTACTGTAGATGTGTGTAAGCTCATTACAATGATGACAGTATTATTTCCAGTTACTTTCATATTGATCCCTAGCAAGGGACTGACCTTTTCACAAACACTGCACACTAAGTTCACATCCTCCATCGCTCACTATGGCCACATAATCTTTTTCCTGGTAGATACAGACCATTCAGCCTCATTGGTGCCGTGTATAAGTGAGGTTAGAGGGTGGTTTGCTGCAACATAGATCCCTTCACACTCAGAAAAAGTGAACAGTATTTGCCATTTGATCATTCCCCCGGGTTAGAGAACCATTAAGAGCCCTTCATAATCATTTTTAAATAGTTTAGTATACTGTATCTTCAAGCTCAGCCAATTTACTACTTGGGCCTAATGAAGAACCTTTATGAACAAGTTAAAAAGCCCTGGCCCCAAGCCAGATCCTTTGAGAGATCTCACCAATAGAAAAGAATATATGTAGCTCAGAGCTGAACTTTGAAGTCCTTGGTGCTCTCTGAATTTTATTTTAATCTCTCTTCATCTTCTAGCTAGCACAGAAGATGTTACCTCATCTGGTAATGAAACATCTGCAAACAAGCAATCACACTCCGAGAGAACCAAGGGCTTCACTTCTTACTTACTTCCACTGAGAAAATTTATCATTTGTTTCTACTCTGTTTCTCCTTTTTGACTGGAAAAAAAATCAACAAAGAGACCTAGGCCTGCTTAGATATGGAACTTTCTTAAAGTCTACTCCTAGATCCAGTGGTGGGATTCAGCCAGTTCGCACCAGTTCGGCAGAACCGGTAGCTAATTTTTTGTTGCTCAGGCCCAGAATGGACTTCCGGAAGCAGCATCCACACAGAGAACCGGTTGTTCACATACTTGAATCCCACCACTGGTGTCATCCACATATCTGCTGACATTGTAAAAAAATAAAACTGCAGAAGTTTGGTAAGCAAGAATGACTTTTGCAGAATCCATGCTGATTTCCCACCAGTAAGGTTGGTTCCTGTATACAATGTGCTTAGTTATTCCTCTCAGCTTTCTGCTTCCACCTACTTGGCCCAACTATATGGATCTCTTCTGGGGCTCTTTTGAAGAACTAGTATCATAGGCAACCTTCCAGTCCGCTGGGACTGAGGCCAATTTAAGGATCTTGGTTCCATTTTCTGCTAGGATGTCAGCAAAGTCATGTTTGAGCCCTTAAAAATGCTTAGCTGGATACCATCGGAACCAAGTGCTACCATAGTAGAAAAACCCAGAAATCATTATTAATTAAAAACTAAGCACACAAGTGATCAAAGCTTCTGACTAGCAAAGCTACCTGCACTAGGGGAAAAATTAACTTTTGGTGAACAACTCTTCCCCCCCCCAACAATGATTGGTTGACTCATTTTTCCAGGTGGTAGAATTGCTTCATTTCAGTGCTTCCTTTATGAAGCTTGGAAGTCTGCATGACTAAAAGATTAAGGGTGGTGGGTGGGGGACGCAGAGGAGCAGAAGCCCATAAGTTATTGAAGGGCAAGAACAGATCCAAGAAATCACAAATTGGAATAACACTTGGCTCCATCCAGTTGCCCCAACTCTACCCCTAATTATGGGATTACAGGGTCATAAAAGGGAGTTTAGTGTTTTTTCCCCTTAAATAAAATTAAAGGGCATTTGATGAAAGGGCCTCCAGTTTTATTGATGTCACATTTAGCTATGGAAAGAGATTCATTGTCTATCCTAATCTTAATTTATTTTCATCTTGGGTAATGATTCATTTAAATATAAGACTGAAAACATTACACCGATTGATGAAGATGTGAAAAGTAATCTATAGCAACTGAACCTTCTTCTCCCACATTAAAAAAGATATTTATTGGACAAAACATTGGGGACAGTTCTATCATAGCTTCATAACAACTGCTGCTGCTGTTGACTGTATTTTGCTTATGGATAAAATGGATAAAATAAGTTTCAGCTGAGAGTAAAAGCATATATTTTGATGTGGCTTTATGAGTGGCACATTAAATTTGGTGTGTTTAGCTGAAGGCTTACTTTCTTTCATAAGTAATAAAAATAAGTAAGCAAATACGAATGTGTCCTAGAATGTCAGGCTACTAAATCATCTTCTACATCAGGGATCTTTTTAGTTGATACTTCTCAATTTTACGCCCAACTCATACCAATATTTTTAAAAAAATACATATACTGTACATTGCAATTCTTAGTTTAGTTTATTTATTCAAGTTGTAAGCCACCCAGAGTGGCAATGAGGCTGGGTGGATTATAAAGTTAATAAATTAAAGTTATTACAATTTTTTAAAAGTTCCTCCCTCTCTTCCCTCTTTCTACTAGCATTAGTTAGCAATAGACTCACTCAGACTGCAGCACTCCTGTTTTGCCCCAAAGAGCCAGCACAACCAGATCTTACCTTTTTGATCTGATCTTCTTTCAGTTTTGTAAAATAAAAGGCCACAAGGTGCATCGCAAGCATGTTTGCTAGTAGTTCGGTGTTTACAGCAAGTTCCTGAGGCCAAAGCTGGATTTGATATGCTGAGAAGCCGGCAGGATCCTACCACCCAGCCATTTCTCAGATGAGTCTCCAGAGCAGCAGAGCTGAAGTAAAGCCAATCCTTCTGCATGGTTCAATGATTAAGCTTCCAGCGCCTTCCCCTGCTCCCCTCCCACCCCTGGGTACTGTATAATGCTGAGCAGATGGAAAACTGCCAAGAGGCAAGAAAAAGGAATGATTAGTTACTGGCCCAACTTGGCAATGTTTTACTTTAGAACAATCCCAGTTGCTATGAGATATCTCTCACTTCACTCAAGCCCAGCACGAATTTCCTTAGGGTGGCACACGTCCAGCTGTCGAGTTTTTCATCCAACTGCAATGAAAACAAGCCACTTCAATGGGTATTATTGAATCTGAAATATTTGGGGGGGGGGGAAATGTTGAGAATGTAGGACCCCCGTTATATATTTTTTCTCTTCTTTTGTCTTCCCTCTTCCCTGTAAAATTGGATAGATTGGAGACATTTTTGTTCCCCCACATCTTTGCATTGTTTTGTTGGGGTTTTTTTTTTTTTCTGGTGGATCTTAATGATTAGCCACCATCTCTGCAGAGGAAATAGATTTCCCAGGAAGTCTGAGAAGTGAAATAACACAAAAATTAACTCTGAATGCAGGCTTTGAGGACCTGCTGAACTCAAGGAGACATAGAGCTGGTTAAGTGTGCCTGGTCAGGTTTCCCCAAACTGATATGTTGGACTACAATATCCCTCATCCCAAGCCAGCATGGGGACCAGCAAGAAGACTTTTAAGTTTGGGATTAGCTGCAAAACAAAGACAGAACCAAATGCACATTAGTCTTTGAAATCAGACATGGCCATCTTTTAAGTGAGCATTATTAAAACTATGATCACATGTCTTTACCAAGAGGCGTTTGGATGTCTGTTTGCAGTTCCGGTTTTGCATCGTGGCAAGACAGAACCCAGGAAGGCAGAGCTCTGCCTTCCATGCCCAATTTCACCCTACCGGGGGCCCTGAAAAGGGCCTAAAGTCACCCCAAAGAGGTGATGAAGGGGTGCCTTGTCGATCACAGAGAGATGGCGGTCTCTCCATTCGATCCAAGAAAAGCCCTCTAAACTGGCAGGGGAAAGACCAGCCACACCTCTGTGGCTGGCCATTACCTGCTGACAACCGAAGAACAAAAGCTTTAATTAGCACACCGTAAATAGCATGTTTGGATTGGTTGAGAATATTGATCCTTTTTTTTTACTATTTTACAACTGAATTTCCTAGGAAAGGCTCCCAAGAAGCTTAAAACCACCAGATGTGAACAGAAGCGGCATTTTAATTTTTTTATGGGGGACAGAAATACACAATACTGAAGTGAAAGTAATACAAAGTACAGTTTTGATGAGTCTGAGAACTGGGATAAATTGTTAAGATTTTCTCTTTGGAAATTTTTTTTATTGAAGTGAAATATAAGAAATATAAGAAATCAACCCTTTGTTTTAAGAGTGGAAAATGGACTTTGAATGATATCTAGTGGTGGATTTGAGTACAGCACTATAACTAGCTCCTTGGCTGCTTGGTGAATTTCAGCTTAAGGGAGAACAGCTGGTAATAAAGGAAAATATTTTGGCATATTTATCATCCTGACCTTCTTGGACTATAAATACTTACTGAACTTGGACTTTTAATCTCAAGAGCTGGTGGGAGAGAAGAGGAAAAAAAAGATCTTGTGAAGGCCTGACTGAACTTTTTTTTAGTCTCATGACTCTCCTGCAGCAGCAGGTTAGTGAAGACATTTTTTGCTTTTGGGAAGAGGGAAGAGCTGGGCGATGGTACACCAAGCTCTATAGCAGCGCCTGGAGAAGCAGCAGGAAACAAGGCTGCCATTTCAAGAATGGAGAAGGGAAATGCAGGGCAATGCAGGGCGACAAGCAAGTGCTCATCTTTGCTCAGCATCACTGTGCAGAGCCGTTTCCCTCCCAGTTCTCTATTCTCTCCAGTGGTAGCAATGGAGGGCTGGCAGAGGGAGGCAGTGGTCACGGTGCAAGCCACAGGAGAGTTGGTGGAGGAAGTGGTGGTGGCTGCCGCCAGGCAAGTGACCTGTAGGGCAGAGCATGGAGAAAGCCCCTCCAGCGGCATGCAATGGCAGCGGAGCCTTTCGCCGTCACTCCCTCCTGGCTCCAAAAAGGCAGAGGGGGGGCCAGATCTACCCCACCCATCCTCTGTACGGCAGCATGGCAGTCTGGCTTGGGAGGGGAGTGAAAGGGAGCAAGGAATGGCCTGGTGGGGGGGGCTGAAGGAAGCGGGTGCAGGGCAGCTCCCCCCTCCCCCACCTGCCTCGCCTTGTTGTGGCGGCAGCGGCACAATGTGCTGCATGGCCTCCTGCCCCATTGCGGCAGCCAAGTGGGATGGAGTGGGTGGGGTCCTAATTAGGGCTTATTTTTGGACTAGGGCTTATATTAGGCCCACCCCCACAAATCAGGGTAGGTCTTTTTTTCAGGATGGGGTTTATTTTCGGGGAAAGTAACTAGATTTTTTATAATGAAAGATATGATTTAGAATTAAATTATCATTTTTTTTTTGATATGGTAAATTTGAAAATAAGAGGATTGGAATGAATACTTTTTTTAGTTATATAAATGTAATTAATATTGAGAAAATCATAACTGATAAAGATACTTTAAATATTGATGGGAAATCAAACTTTAATAAGAGCACGAAAAACAGGATATTGACTTATGAATTGATATTTTTGTTACTTCTATATTAGTAAAATATGATGTTTATACCTAATTTTGTATATATCAATAGTATTAAGAATTGTAATTGTTTAATGAGGGGAAAAGGGAAAAATATGGGGAAGAAAGGAAGATCAAGGAAACAATACTGGATTGTGCAGTACTGAATAGATTTATATTGAAAAAGTTAATGTTAAGTATGTGAACCCAGACATGTTGTTTACTAAGGTTTAAAGATTGTAATTTTTAAAAATTAATAAAACCTATATAAAAAAATCAAATTGTGCGTCTGCACAATTGAAGCTCCCATCCCATTTGTACCTGTCCCCTGGGCAACATATGTATTAAAGAGGCAGGGCTTTGATCTCACACACATGGTTGCCATCTTGATTTCTTGGACCCCACTATTCAGATGCCCCTCTATTTGTGTGTATTCACATATGTATTTCCTCCCAAAACAATCCCTTTGGATAGACAAAACTATGGACAGCTGAGGATATAGATGTTGTTTTTCATTGTTTTAGATCAGTTTTTTTCAATGTTGACAACTTTTAAGATGTGTGGACTTCAACTCCCACAGTTCCACAGCCAATATGGGGAAGTCCAAACATCTTAGTTACCAAGCTTGTAAAACATTGTTCTCGACATTGGCAAGTCAAGACAAACAGCTGAAAAATAATTTCAGTTTCTTCTCTGCTTTCTTTCTTTCTGTGAGGGCCCCTGCCTGCAGACAAGAGATTCATTGTCCACCAGTGACCTCATATTCCCATCACTGGGCAACAGTACTACATCACCATGCCAATCAAACATGCTTCTCTTTGTTCTTATGGGCTTTGGAAGAAGGCAGTAGGGTGCCCAAGTTCCTAAATATACCATCCTTGTGGGGTGAGTTGGGTCAAGAGTGGCAACTAGACATAAAACAAGATGCAATGGCAGCACTCTCTCTAAATATACTACTGTTGTCAGAATTGTAGAAATTAATCCCCAAGCAGTGTTTCTCAAAGTTGGCAACTTTAAGACATGTGGAGAGCAGCTATTTGCAAGTCTCCTAATATTATAAATAGCAGATTCCTTAAGCAGGGAGTTAATTTTAGTACTAGTCATCCCTAAGAGCCCTTCCACTAACAGAGATTAGAATATATTTATATCCTATCAGTTTTAGACAAACTAAAAGAATGAACTCCTCAGTTGGTCTGACAAATTTTAACATTTCTCTCAGCTTGCTATGCAACAGTTCCATTCCACCCTCTTCCACTGAACGCAAATTCAAAACCTGCTTTATGTGATAATCCCTTGTACTACTCAATCTTAACAAACAGAAAGGACTTTTCTGTTCTGTGCTAAGTAACTCCAGAATTTTTTTAACAAGGGATTAACACAATTCATTTATGGCACTGAAATGGGCACTCTTCCTTGAGTCTAATTGCATGCACTCATTAGAGGACTCACTCAGATTTCACATCACCTGAACAAATTTAAAAGGGCTTATAGATATTACTATGGAGAAACTGTGGGAACCTTCCATGAATGAAAGTGCTAATCTCAAAAATATGAAGGTTAACATTTTAGTTCTTAAAAGAACTAGAACATAAAGCTTTCATTTTATATTTCCCAACTGCACAGCCTACATGCTTTCTTGTCAAAAATCCAGAGCAAACAGATGTCTTTAAAAATTGTTTATGTCACAAAACCACCACCCTAAGATTGCTCCTGAAAGTAGAAGTTCTCTCAAGTGTAATTAATGAGTAGAACTGCCTTCACATCATTTTGTACTCATACATATATCGTAAAACATGTATATCTTGTTCAAAATGTCCTATTTTTTTCTGGATTTAAATGCATGCATACTAAAAACATTTGATAAAGATCATAAAAAACAATTTTTGTTTTAAACTCTTACCTACTGAGTTGACTCTGAAAGTGTTTTTAAAAGGCAGACATCTTTATTAGATATTTTTCCCTCCCCAAATATAATTGTTCATGTGGAAGTCTTTAAAAATACTGATTTCTCTGCCAAAGAACATATCAACCAAGTGGCCAGTCTATTAATCTGATTTCTAGTCAAGTTGTATATTAGCATTTAATATGCTTTATCTGCTGAATTATGTACTCTGAAGAAGCAGTTGAATGATGAACTAAGCTCTCTTGTTATGGAACAAGCTCAAACATGACTCAGTAGGTGCTAACCCAGTGGTTCTCAACCTGTGGGTCGGGACCCCATTTGGGGTCGATCGACCATTTCACGGGGGTCGCCAAGCAAGGCTGTCCGCCATTTTTTTGTCCATTTTTTTTTGTCTGCCATTTTTTTCCCGTTTTCCGGTAGCTGCCTTACCTCCCTTGGACTGGGCCAGCTGGTGGTCGGCCTGCTCCGTCTCTGCCGCTTGCCAGCTATGCCTCGGCCGGCGCAGGGGGCGGAACCACGCATGCATGGCGCTCCCGGGCAGGGAAAGTCCTCGACTTACGACGGGTTGGGTAGTCCTCGACTTACGACCGGTTTACTCCTCGACTTACGACCGGTTGGGGTCACAGCATTAAAAAGGTTGAGAACCACTGTGCTAACCTGTCAATATTTAAGCAGTATTTAGGCTCTTTTGACAGAATCTCCTAGCTAGCTGAAGTTTACATTAACTGAAATGCAGTTGTTCCAGCTATTATTATGCCCACATTGCAATCACTCATACCTAACTTCTCCTTTTATCCTTATTATAGCCTTGCTCTCTGATCTCTCATTTCAATTTAAAATGAAAATTCCTTGCAGTTTTGTTTGATTCTGTGAAGCTGCATTTATGAAAAGGTACAGAAACCTCTTATTCATGGTGAAATTTTTAAAATCTCCCCCTATTCACAGTGAGATGTTTAAAATCTGTGCAAGATCAAAACACAAATATTTAAGAAATTACTGTTTTATTTAAGCAGAGGCATCACTTCATTTCTTTTTTTCTTTGTGTTTGGCTGAGCTCCTGCTTTCACTAACATCATGAGGACCATCCTGTTGAGAGAGCCATTCCTTCTCCAATTGTTTCAGCACTTCCTTGCTGAGGAGTCCCTGCTGTATCAGTCTTTCGGCCAGAGGACCCTTCATCTGGCTCGGGGTGCCCAGCTGCACATCCGCAGACTGTAAGCTCCTGGCTTTAGGCCCTCTTGCTCTGCGGGGCCCGTGGGCCATCTCTTTGTTCGTGGAAATCTCTGTCATTTCTGCATGCGGGAGCCTATCATCAGTTCTGAGGCTCTCGACAGGAATACCCATTGCCTCAGAAGTGACTTGGGAAGCTTGAATCAGTCTTGTAATATTCATCACTCCAATTTGTATGATGTCATCCAGTTTCTTCTGAATCGCCCTCACATGACCAGCATCTGGGAACATGTCCATAAACCGGTAACTGTATTAAAAAAAAAAACCAGTCAATTTGTGAATGGGAATTCTTGGAAAAGCAAATCAATTCTCTATGGGTCTACAAATCCTTTATTAGAGGGCATCACTTGACAGAATTTAGTACTGACTCTTATTCACCAATCTCCAAGGTTACAAAAATGTGGGGCAAATAATGGGTCCGTAGCTCATTAATGCAAGCAACGGCATTTTTCCTCTCAAAAGTTTACAACAATAGGGTTGTGATATTCAATATTTTGTTTGACAATTAAATAAAAAAAGCTTGATGATTTAAATATTGTACAGGTAGTCCTCATTTAACAACTGACTCATCCAGTGACCGTTTGCAATTACAACGGTGAAGAAAAAATAATTTTATAACAAGTCCTTGTTTTTGCAACCTTCACAAGTCTGTAAAGCAAAGGAAAGCTGAAGACCATAACCAATAATCAGTTTCACTTATTGACTATTTTGCTTAATGACCCGCTCCAAGTGTGGTTACTATTGTATAGACTAGCATAAAAGATGAGGTAAATCTGAGCAAAAGAGCCTATTTTGTTCAAGAATGAGGGTCCTGGAGAACAAGAACTGGAGAGAGAGAGAGATGTCACAGACATTTTGGCAATGATGGATGTTCACACAAACAGTTCGCCACAGCACTGTAAAAGTAAACATTACCACAGGAAAAATGTATCATTAGGGCACCTTCTCCCAACAGAAGACGATTTCTTAAGCTGGCCCCTTAAGAAGAAGATAGGGGAGAACTACTCTTCCGTTCCAATACCTCAGCCAGAGATAGAGATCAAGAACATCATGAACAGCTTCAAGATGGACAAGGTCCTTGATGTTCTTGGGTGGGATCAGGGGCCAGTTAATATGTCGGCAGAGCCAATCAAACATCACAGGTTCATTTCTACTGAACTGTCGTGCAAACTGGAACACAAAAAGGGATGATTAGGCAAACAATATTTCCAAAACAGCAATGCCCTCATATTGCCAAACACTCTCTGCAATAGCCAAGCTCAAGCAGGAAAGCAATGCCCATAGTTTATAATATTAACTTTTTACCAAGTTTAGCATTTAAGTTCAAATAAGAGGCAAAGCATTTTATAGTTTTTCAAAGCATCAGCAAAATACTACCTTTCTCTTAGCACTTTAGACACTGGAAGAAAAAGTGAATGTTCCAGTGCTTCTATAACAGGGAACAACTGTCTGCCTTGCTTTTCTAGAAAGCTTCTGACAATATGTTGTGCTTCAGGGAACAGAAACTTTGCTCAAAATGTCAACTGAGAGATCAAATCAAATATCTAATCCACTAATCCTCATTAGCAGTGTTACAGATGGCCTTTCAGTTAATATAGTGTCTAGAATTGTCTTAGCCAACATTCAATTTCTGAGACACTACACTGGGTCACATGACTCTCCAGTAATGTCTTTCCCCAATAGTGCAAAAACAGTGTTTGACCTCACATATATCCGAATATGCGAATCAGCAAATGATGCTGGGTTGTATTCTATTCTCAGTCAAATTTATAAACATAAAATGTTTCTATAGTTCAAATGAAGTCTACAAAAGTTGTCCCTGACAAAGACACTTTGCAGTTGCTGCTCAGGAAATTGAAGCAAAAAAGAACATTTTGGAAAGATTTATTTAAGCTGGTAAATAAGATTAGGAAGTTGTCGATCCATTAAAACAAAACACACACATACATATAATACAAGCACATCTACTGTTTGGGCATACTGGGAGCTTAGAAAGGCTCCTCCAGGAAATATGCTAAAAAACTAAAAATATTACAAAAAGATGCAAGTTACCTTTAAGAGTGAGGTGCACACAAAAGGCTCCTTTTGATTAATGGGAGCTGTGCAAAACACGTATCTTGCTCTCAAATGGAGTGGAATGTGTTGAATCATTTTGGCTAAAAATTTGAAGTTATCAATATTGCAGACAAAGTAGAGTCCATCAACTTGAGAGAGGCTCACAAAAATATCCTATTAAAAAAAACATTTAATTAAACAAAATCCCAGCTCTGTTAAAAGCTTTCAAACATTCATAGACCAGTAAATTTGAACCTCTCTCTTTCTTTTCCATCTCCTGCCTCCTCACAAAATTATCAGCAACCCAGTTCTCTTGGTCACTGTCTTATAATCTGTCCCTTCCTGTACACTTTTTAGGGTTCTNAAAGAAAGAAAGAAAGAAAGAAAGAAAGAAAGAAAGAAAGAAAGAAAGAAAGAAAGAAAGAAAGAAAGAAAGAAAGAAAGAAAGAAAGGGGTGTCATTTTTCCACAATTTAAAGTTTTTAGTATTTGTTGCATTAAAATGGCAACTACCACACACACACACACACACAAAAACCAGAGCTTTCATCATATCAATGTGGCTGCCCTCTTACCTTTTTTGGCCAAATCCCATGCCACCCCTGCAGGGATCTGCAAGGATTACAAATTATGTGGCTGCTTTAAAGATCTGAAGGAGACCTCTGCTGCTCCTGTCTGTTTGGGATGCAGCTTTCAAATGCTCTACACACCTCTAGATAAAAAGCAGTTGTCACGCCTCCGACTGAGCCTGAATCGGAGGAGGAAATGGAGCCGGAACAGGACCCTATCGAGGCCCAGGGAGAGGTGTTTGTGGCTTCAGAGGACTGTGGGGAGGAGCAGGCTGAAGCAGGTCAGGGCCCTTCAGGTTTGGAACAGGGGAGAACAGAGTTTAGGCAAGGAGTAAGGCCCACCCCCACCTGATCCTAGAGCTAGGAGAGTGGAGAGGAGGAGGGAACCACACAGGCAGGCTCACTTGCTCGGGAGGAGAGCATCCCGCCCCACCCCACAAGGCACATCTGGGGATTGAGATATAAGGAGCCGCTGTGGGGTGGGGACTTTCAAACGTTGATATCTTGGGGACGTGTGTATTGTTGCTCTTGTTCTGTGCCTTTGGAAAACCTGGACACCTTGACGACCGGACCGACTGACCACGTGGATTTCCTGAATTACGACCTCAGACTGCATTTTGACTTTTCTCTTTGCAAATTCTGCAGGCAAGCTGAGATTCAAGCGGACTCATTAAGTTGATGTTTCGTTTGGTTTGTTATCTTTATGGCCCTGAGGACATTCGTATAATAATCAGGCTGTATTGAAACTGCCTTCAGCCACAGTCGGCTGGAAGGTGAGTATGTGTATTTAGGTTGGAGGCTTGCCAGCAAATGTGGGAGCATTTGGAGGAAATTTGCAACCATTAAAGAACTGTCTACAGTGCCAGCTGTCTGCATTGCCTTTGTGCTGGGCCCTGGGTCATCACAGCAGTCGTAATTTCCACAAGCAGAAATGTCCTCATTCCCAACGTCTTCTGCTGATGGAAGTTTCCCCACTTCATCTGCAAGTATTGCATTCCAGTTCATATCAGTTGTCTCAACAAGTGTCTTGAGCAGAGGTCTTCAAACCTGGCAAAACTTGTGGACTTCAAGTCCCAGAATTCCTCAGCCAGCCAAGACTTTAAAAAACTACTTACAACCGTTCCTTGAAGTTACAACTGCTGCCCCCCACCCCCACCCCTCGATTGCATTTCAGGTACTTGGCAACTCGTCTGCATTTATGACCAGTTGCAACGTCCCAGTCGATGATTGTGATTTGTGACACTTTTTGTAGTTTCTAGCAAAAAAACACCCCCAAACACACCCATTTGGATTTGCTTAACCATCTCATGATTTCTTAATAACACGATTCGCTTTATGACTATAGTGACTCACTTTGTGACTATCAGAAAACAGTCGTAAAATCAAGTCCCATCATATGGTGCCTTAATTTACAACTGTGACAAGATTGAAATTCGTTTCCATTGCAGTCATAAGTGGAGGACTACCTGTAAAAAATTCCAAGATGCAACTCTAGTACTGTCTGTTAACAGTATCAACAGAAAAGCCCAAGGCCGAAGGTCAGAGTAGACAATTCTAGGTTAGATGGATAAATACCGTGTTTCCCCGAAATTAAGACCTGGTCCTATATATTTTTTTGCCTCCAAAAGAGGCACTAGGTCTTAATTTTGGAGAATGTCTTACCTTAGGACCACTGCAGCCAGG